TACTTCCACTAGTCTTTAAAAGCTTATAATGCTCAACGGGGGTTTGGGCATTTTTGGGTTGAAAATTGTGTTGGTGTAATCTTTAGCTTTATTGGGTGATACATTGTGTTATATGAGGTGTACTTTTTAAAAGGATTAATTTCTCCCATTAACTTCCGTCTGCTTCCGTTTTATCCTGACGGAGTATTTCCCGTTTCCCTCCCGTCTGTTATACCAAAAGGCATTTGTGTTGCCATTCAAGCTTTTTAAAATTCCCAGTATCTCATCTGTTATCTTTAGTTTCAAGGGTTGGGGTATTTCCACAACCTTTTTCCCCGTTAAAAATTCCTTCTTTAACTGGCTTACCAGTTTAATAAGCTGTGTAGGTTCTGATTCCTTTCTTATTCGAGTAGATTCTTCAATTTTCCTAATTTGATCTGGGGTATACCTAAAAGCAGTTTGAGACTCATTGTAGGTATAGAAGTAGAGAGAATTGAAGAGAGAGTGAAGGACACAGAGTGCAACAGCGACATTGATTGAGCAAAAGCCCATTCTTCTCTTGCCATCTCCCGCCGCTCCCCCCAGTTACAATCATTTTAGTTTATGATAGAAGTTGTCATTATTGTGAGTTCTGCCAATTACCAACTGCTATTGTATTAGAACTATTGCCAATGATAATAATCAGAAGCTGGAATTAGTAAATTATTGATTGATTCTACTATTGCCAATTAGTGAGTTCTGCGAATTACCAGTTATTTGGTTTTCAGATTGTTGATGATTCTACCCATCCAACTGTACAATATTTTCCAAATTGAGCTTGTACACCATGTTTTTCTAGAGGGTCTGGCCTCTACAAATTTGGATTGACTCTCGTTTTGTAATAAATATAAATAGAGTGCTATTTACAGTCATGTTCATAATTTCGTATTCATTTTGAGATCAGAATGCCATTTTTCCTTTCCTACATAATCATCCTTGGCCTAAAATCCAACATTAAGGATTTAAGATTAGAGTACATATTTTTCCCCTTTGGGGCCATCCAGGTTTGAGGTTAAGGAATGAATTATTTTCTTAGTTGTGCGTTTACCAAAATTAAGCTATAGTTACATACATGAACTAATCTTGTATGTAGAATTTCTAGAACATTAGGTGTCTTTAATTCCTATAGTCAATGTTGAATGAGAATCTAGAGTAGAATGTTTCACCCTTTCCATCTTTTATCCTGAGCAATACAAGTGAAAGCACCAGACAGATGAGATATGTAATATTCTAAACGAAATCCACTTATTAGGGAAATAACCAAAATTGTAGCTTTATGATTGTAAGTCATCTATGAAAATGGAGCAAGGAGAAAAAATGAACAGTAAACCAAGGAGCTAACTTTGCTGCTTTGAGATAAGAGTGCTATTTTTTCTTTCCCCCATAATCATTGGTGGCCTACGTACAACCCTACATTAAGAATCTAAGATTAAAGTGCATATTTTTTCTCTATTTTTCGTCCCTGGGGCCATCCAGGTTTCAGGTAAAGGCATGAACAATTTTCTTAGTTGTATGTTTGATAACCGCTTTCGCGGCGTTGTAGTAAAACGGAGTCTAACCTTTCGGTTTTTCCCCGAGTGTCGTGTCTCTTGAGGAATGGCGGAGAAGTTTCTTAATTTAATTTTAGTCACGGGCTATCGCTAATTGTTGGAAGCTTTTTCAATATAGGAAAGTGATTTTGTTCTATATTACGCTAAATTATAACTAGGAGCAAGGTGCAATTTAAAGATTAATGTATAAATATTGAATATTCAAGGATGCAAATAAGGGCAATGAATTGAGTAATTAGAAATGGATATGTTCTTGGACCTCTTAATTAGGGAAATTAAAACTAAAATTGGACTAATAATTTCTTTCCTCATAGACAAGAATAGAAACTATCTTCATTAATTTATCCTATTTCTAGGTGTCATTAATGTGTTTAAAATGGTTGGCTTAAATTATTTTCTAAACCCATAGACAAGGTAGAAATAATTTTCCAATATTTTAATTAATAAAAATAGCCAAATTCATTAACTAGTTAAACTCTTTATTTTAGCAATTGAATTTATTTCTCATAGACAAGATGTAAATCCTTTTCATTAAATTATCCTATTTCTAGGCCTTATTAATGTGCTCAAATATGGTTGGCTTAAATTAATTTCTAATCTCATAGACAAGTTAGAATTAATTTTCCAAGAATTTAATTAATGAAAATGGCTAACTATTATTAATTACTATTTCATCATTTCAAACAACTAGTCCAATTTATTAATTTTAACCCCTAATTTTAGGTCAGCAAGTCAATCCATATTCCTTTTCTCAATTCATGCCCTAACAAATTTAGCTACTCATCACCATTTTTGCAATTAACAATATAATGATTAAATTCAACATTAACAAGGAATTAAACATGTATGATAGCAAAAATTAAACAAAAATTATATTCTGGAACAATAAACTTGTAGGAACTAAAATATAACTTTCTGGAATTTTTCACCAATTTTTGAACCTAAAATCCAATTTTTGACAACTAATTGATAATTTTCCCAATTTTAACTAGAAAATGCAAAAAGTAACTAAAAATATGCTAACTTCGTTATAAATTTTATTTTAGCTACTGGGAGTGATATTACTATGAATCAAACTGAAATTAAGGCCGAACTAATTTTTTTTCCTTTTTTAGTATTTATTTTGACTTAAGCAATAATATAACGTAGTTACCGAAATTAATAAAAATACTCTAAATTCGTACCAAATTTTATATTAACTACTAGTAATGATATTTAAGTTAACTAAACTGTAAATAGGGCCGAATTCATTTTTTTTCCTATTTTTCTAGTATTTATTCTAAATTATGAACTAATCTCAAATAATTACCAAAATTAATTAAAAATTACTTATGCTTCGTGAAAAATTAATTTCTTCAGATAAATAACTACCTTGAGGCTAGTGAACAACTATATAATTAATTGGAATGAATTCAACAACAATAACTATTTTATTTAATTTTTGGAAGTAAATGCGAAATACTTGAAAAATAATCTGGAAATTTTCGAAGAACAGATTGAACAAACAAAGTGCAGATTCAGATTCTACTCGATGAGAAGATGAAAATACATATAAAGAACTTACAATTTGGAGCTAAAATGAAGAAGATATGAAGATTTGAAGTTTCTCTCTCTCTAAACCCTTTGGAGCTCGAAAATGGAGGAAGAAAGAAGGTGTTTTGAACTGATTTAGGGTTGGAAGAGGTGTGTTTGAGTTGAGGAAAAATCGGGCTATTTATAGGAGAAATTTCCCCGAAGGCGGCCAACCAGGCGGCCGCCTTCCGCCTCTCTCCGGCCGCCTGCCGTCTTCGTCGCCGACAGCGGTCGGTGGCCGGTCCCCGTCAGCCGTAGGCGGCCACAGAGGACGGCCGCCTTCCGTCACACATCGGCCGCCTGCCGTCTTTTCATTGTCAAATCGGATCGCGGCGGATCCCGGCGGATCCCGGCCGCCGCAGGCGGTCCAGCAGGCGGCCGCCTGCCGTTCCTGTCTGGCCGCCTGCCGTCAAATCCCACCGGCCGGCGGTTGCTTCGTCGTCTTCTGCCGCAGGCGGTCACCGTAGGCGGCCGCCTTCCGTCCAGTGTCGGCGGCCTACGGTCTTTTCCGAATCCGGTCAAAGCCAAAGTTTGACTTTCCAAAAATACCGTAGGCGGCCGCGAAGGCCTTCATTTTGGCCGCCTGCCTGGCCGCCTGTGAGATTATTTGTCCGGCTTGTTCCTTATTTTGTGCTCTTCAATATTGTCTTCTGGACCACTTTGAAATAATGTCTCCTTCTTTCGGTATGATATCATTTGTTGCTCAAATTGGCTCATTTTGTGCTCAATCGACCCGAAATTCCGACAAACATACGATGAATGTGGTTTTCACCTGATTTCATGAAACTTGAACCAAAATATCTAAAACATGCCTTTTCTTTCTATTTTCAATCAAAAATCGCTTAAATTTGATAAGAAAAATAAGTACAAAAATGGACTTATCAATCTCCTCACACTTAAGCGTTGCTTGTCCTCAAGCGACGAATTAGTTGGAAACACACTCAAAAAGGGAAAACATGACTATATCACAATCGAATTGCTATTAAAGAAGTAGAAACAAAAACCTCTCTTTTATTCTCAATTTTTTTTTTATTTTAGAAAAATCACCCAAGATATATGAATTTACTATTATTATTACTAAAGAAAACTATTGATTATGTTAAACCACCGATCAATTCCTTATCCCAAGGTTTTCATTATTCTAATTTGGACATTCATCTTGTTCACCATTTTTTTTTTTTGCTCTTTTTCACTCTTGTTGGCGGTGTTATCCCATGGTAAATGCATATTTCATTCTCACAGACTGTGATTAACGAATGAAACAGAGCCCCTTTTCGGAGATGGAATTGTCCTATAACAATGAGTTTTGAAGAGGTTTATTAATAGTAACATTTTTTTTTTATGAAAAAAAATGAATGTCCAATTAAAACAAATTCAGACCTTTACATTCGCAACCAAAAACCCATAACAATTTTAAGTTTTCAAAAATAATAATAATAGTAAATTCTTATAATAAGGGTGATTTTCTAAACTATTTTGTGAATTGATAACAAATTGAGAAATTAATGTTTCATATCAAAAATAGTAAAAAGATTGTTCTAAAACAAGGCTTTGACTTTTGAGTGTAAAACGCAACCTCCTCACACTTGAGCTGGACCTCGCCCTCGAGGTCTTCTTTTGAGGCACAAAATTGGGAAATAAAGGCACATTTTTTTTTTTTTTGGTTCTTTCCTCACACTTGAGTTTTGAAAAGATTTTGTGAAGAGGAATAATGAAACAGGAGAAAAAATGGTTTTAAAAATCCTTACATCATCCATAGTCAGTTTGTAAGAGCATTCAAGTCAAAAGAGCAGCGCAATGTCCAACCTGAAGAACAAACAAACATGATAAAAATGTTAATGAAGAAGCAAATCTAAACATCGCCTGCGCCATCCTGGGGGCCATAGTGTGGCCTAAGCCAATCTCTCATCTCATCAATATCTAGCCTCTGGGTCTCTAGCTCCGCCTGCATATCCTGGGTGGCTCTCTCCTGAGCTAATCGAAAGTCTCTGAACTCTCCCAGGGCCGTCTCATGCGCCTCTCGCATCTCCTGGAGTCCTCTGTCCTGTGCAACCCGCATCTCTGAAACTGAAGTCTGGAGACTCCGCATCCCATCCATCATCGCTCTCCAATCTGCGGCGCTAGGCATGTATGAAAAGGGCTCGCTAGATCCCTCATGTCCTGAGGGTCGAGAAGAACTACTCTGCTGGGTCGGCTGCTCAATACCTGGGAGCTCCTGAGTGTTCCGCTTCTTCTTGATCCTCATGTTGGTAAAGGATGAGGATCGAAGAACGCGGATGCTATCCTGTAAGTGCACTAGTCCTGGAATGTCTAGATCTGGGTAGAATGATCTAACGAGAGTAGTGATGAAAGGCCCTGCCTGGATAGTGCGCCGCACAGTCTTCCCCTGGCTCCGGAAGAAACGAGCCATAAGGACAGCCATATTCACCGGGATGCGGTGAATCAAACTCCAAAAGAATAGTATGTCCTTTTTGGACAACCTGTTTGTGTTGTTAGGTCGTCCAAAAAAACCACAAGAAAGTACGAACGAGAGTATGTACCAGTGAGTCTCCCTCCATTTGTTCGAATGGGGGTGCATCCGGAGGAATGATCTGGTGTCTGTGGAGTGTCTGTGCCAGAACTCATCAATGTCAAATGCCTCGGGTAAGCGGGTCGGAAGAGCGCGGAACTCCTCAGTCTGTGTGTATGCTGGGGTATAGAGCCCCATCCTCCATCCGAGCTCAGCCACAGTGATGGAGTGCTCCATGCCTAGAATAGTAAACCTCATCCGAGACTCTGACCCAATAACAGCACCCTCCTGCACAGCCTGTCCGTAATGAGTGAACTGAACGGAGCACAGAAACTCCATCGTCAATGGAAGGCTGGCCCTCTCCTGAACGAATAGAATCCTCCGCCATAAAGAGTCTCCTAGCAGGGAATCAATCTCATCCCAGTACCCCCATTCCTCTAGCATCGTCGGGTCCAGGATCATGGGAGGAAGGAGTGTGCGGTATTGCCCCCATGCCTGGAAGCGTCTGCGATCAGCAATAGTAGCAAATGGAATATCAGGCTGAGGTGGCGGGTCTTCCCGTCCTAGTGGTGGCTCCTCGAAAATGGGATCGTCACGTCTTCCTCCAGACATCTGCAAGAAATAAACAAAGTAAATATTTTTGGGTTAGTTTTTTTTTTTTTTTTTTTTTTTTTTTTTTGGTTGTTGGGTTGCCTCCCAATGAGCGCTTCTTTAACGTCACTAGCTTGACGAATGTCCTCCCTTGGTTCAAAATTTTTGGAGATAGAGAATCTCCTTGCTTTTTTCAATCGGGCCGCCATGGTAGAGTTTAAGTTGGTGGCCGTTGACTTTAAAGGGAGCCCCATTAGCATCTTCAATCTCAACAGTTCCGTAGGGGTAAGCTTTTATGACCTTGAACGGTCCAGACCATCTTGATTTAAGCTTTCCTGGAAAAAGCTTCAACCGGGAGTTGAACAACAGCACTTTATCTCCAGCATTGAAATCACGAGCTTTGATGTGTTGATCATGGTAGAGTTTGGCTCGTTCCTTGTAAAGTTTGGAATTATGAAAAGCTTGCGCTCTCCATTCTTCCAGTTCATTCAGCTGGTAAAATCGTTCCCTCCCTGCAGCATCCAGTTTAAAACAAACATTTTTCATCGCCCAAAGTGCTTTATGCTCGAGTTCGACGGGTAAGTGGCAAGACTTCCCGTATACAAGGCGAAAAGGTGTTGTTCCGATCGGGGTCTTGTAAGCAGTCCGAAATGCCCAAAGAGCGTCGTCAAGTTTAGTCGACCAGTCTTTCCTGGTCTGGGCAACAGTTTTCTCCAGAATGGACTTCAAATCCCTGTTAGCGTTCTCCACTTGTCCCTGAGTCTGGGGGTGGTATGCTACTCCGCTTCGATGTTGGACTCCATATTTGGCCAAAATTCTGGCCATTGGATCATTGTGGAAATGAGTCCCTCTATCGCTGATCAAAACCCTAGGCACACCAAATCTGGTAAAGAGCTTTTTCAGAAAATTCACGACTACTCGAGAGTCGTTGGTGACACAGGCCTGGGCTTCAACCCATTTAGAAACATAATCAATGGCCACAAGAATGTATTTGTTTCCTCTTGAGCTTGGGAAAGGTCCAACAAAGTCGATGCCCCAAACATCAAATACCTCACAAGGTAAGATAAAGTGTTGGGGCATCTCATTGCGCCCAGAAATGTTCCCGATTCGTTGACAGTTATCACAAGAGGAAACAAATACATTAGCATCTTTAAAAATCGTGGGCCAGAAGTACCCACAGTCCAAAACCCGCCTTGCGGTTCTATTCCCTGAAAAGTGGCCCCCAGTAGGACCGCTGTGACAATGCTCCAGAATGTCCTTTGCCTCAGCTTCAGTAACACATCTTCTCACCACCTGGTCAGCACAAATTCGGAATAGATATGGATCATCCCAAAAATAGTGCTTTGCTTCTGATAGGAACCGCCTTTTCATGTGCCTTGTCAGTTCGGTAGGCTCGACTTTACCAACAAGGTAGTTGGCAATGTCGGCATACCACGGTGTTTGTTCCTTGGCGGATATTGCCATCAGTCTCTCAGCAGGAAAAAGTTCCTCAATTTCGCATTTTCCGAAAGTTTCTGCTAACTCGGCATCTAACCTCGAGAGGTGATCAGCTGCCTGATTAGCAGATCCTTTTCGGTCCCTGATTTCAATATCAAATTCCTGCAACAAAAGAACCCAGCGTAACAGTCTAGGCTTAGCATCATGCTTTTGGAGGAGATATCTAATGGCCGAATGGTCGGTATAGATAATAACCTTCGAAAGAATGATGTAAGTCCTAAACTTCTCTAAAGCACAAACAATAGCAAGGAATTCCTTTTCGGTGGTAGTGTAGTTGAGTTGTGGCCCTGACAGAGTTTTGCTAGCGTAGTAGATTGGGTGGAAGTTCTTGTCCTTCCTTTGACCAAGAATGGCCCCCACTACTAAGTCACTAGCGTCACACATGAGTTCAAAGGGTAAACTCCAATATGGGGCCACAAGCACCGGTGCATTGATCAGTTGTGTTTTAAGTGCTTGGAAAGCATGGTGACATTCATCAGAGAATATAAAAACCGCATCTTTTTCAAGTAACCGGGTGAGAGGTTTTGCGATTTTAGAGAAATCCTTTATAAAACGACGATAAAAGCCCGCGTGTCCTAAGAAGCTGCGGATGGCTTTTACCGTGGTTGGTGGAGGAAGTTTCTCTATCGTCTCAATTTTTGCACGGTCCACCTCTACCCCGTTACTTGACACTTTATGTCCAAGTACTATACCCTCTTTCACAAGGAAATGACATTTCTCCCAACTTAGGGCTAAATGGGTTTCCTTGCAGCGGATAAGTACTTTCTCCAGGTTTTCAAGGCATTTTTCAAACGTTTCCCCAAAAATAGAGAAGTCATCCATGAATACCTCCATGAAGTGGCCAATGTATTTTTCGAAAATGGCAATCATGCACCTCATGAAGGTGGCAGGAGCATTACAGAGACCGAAAGACATCCTACGAAAAGCAAAGGTCCCAAAAGGGCATGTAAACGTAGTTTTGTCTTGGTCTTCCGGGTTGACATGGATTTGGAAGTATCCACTCATGCCATCCAGGAAACAGTAGTGACTATGGCCTGCCAACCTCTCTATTAATTGATCGATGAAGGGAAGGGGAAAATGGTCTTTCCCGGTGGCTTCGTTTAGTTTGCGGTAATCGATTACCATTCGCCACGCGGTAACAGTTCGACTGGGTAGAAGTTCGCCCTTTTCATTTTTCATGACGGTCATTCCCCCCTTTTTGGGGACAACATGAATAGGGCTTACCCACTGGCTATCAGAGATGGGGTAAATGATACCCGCATCCAGCAGTTTGACAATCTCAGCACGCACTACTTCCATCATGTTTGGGTTTAAACGTCGTTGTGGTTGGACAACTGGTTTAAACCCTTCCTCAATTTTGATGGTGTGGGTACAAAAGGTGGGGCTAATTCCATTGATGTCCTCAAGTTTCCAAGCAATTGCTTGCTTGTGTGTCTTAAGGACTCCAAGTAATTTCTCCCTTTGTTCCTCACTTAAGTGTGCGGCGATGACGACAGGGCACTTGCCTTCGTCATCCAAGAATGCATATTCTAAGTGGTCGGGCAGTTTCTTTAGTTCGAGGGGGTGGTCGTTTTTCAAGTTTTGTTCATTTTTCTCCCCCTCAAACTCAGTCAATACTTCGTTAGAAGCTTGATCAATCAGCGCATCCTCACAACTCTCACGTGCATCACTCACATCACTGTTGGCTTCTTTTAACAGACATGCTTCATCAGTTACATGTCCATTTTCTTCCCCAAACAGATACCCTTCAATAGACTCAAAGGTATCAAGAAAATGACATCCTTGAAAGGAATCTGTGGGGTGTTTCATAACATCTGAGAGTCGGAAGGTGCAAAGATCATCTCTGACTCTTAGAGTTAATGAGCCATCAGTGACATCAATCAAGGCCCTGGCGGTAGCCAGAAAGGGCCTTCCCAGAATAAGAGGTGTTTCCCTATCCTCTTCCATGTCCATTACTACAAAGTCGACTGGGAAAATGAACTTGTCAACCTTGACCAAGACGTCTTCAACAATTCCTTTCGGATATTTGACTGAGCGATCAGCCAGTTGAAGACACATCCTGGTGGGTTTCATTTCCCCGAGTCCTAGCTTTTCGACTATAGAGGAAGGCATCAGATTGATACTTGCCCCTAAGTCAGCTAGAGCATTATTGAAATTGAAATTGTCTATAGAGCAAGGGATAGTGAAACTACCTGGATCCTTTAGCTTTTCGGGTATTGACCTTAGAACCACGGCCGAGCATTCCGCGTTCAAGTCCACGACTGAGAGTTCCTGCAGCTGCCTCTTATTCGTCAGCAAGTCCTTGAAGAACTTGGCATATTTGGGCATCTCCGCTAGGGCATCCATCAGTGGCAGGTTGACGTGGAGTTGTTTGAGTAGGTCCAGGAATTTGTTGTACTTCCTGCTATCGTCATCATTTCTAACCCGTGAAGGAAACGGGAGAGAAGGTTTGACGATAGTGACCCTTGTGTTAGGGCGTGTTGGTTCCATGCTCTTCTCAGTTGGAGCATCAGTTTGTTTCTCAGGTTCCATGGTTGGGGTACCTTCCTCTTCCTCGTCTTTCTGCTCAGCCACGGTTGTTTGTCTCTGTTGGTCCCGGATAGAGGTAAAAGTCTAGAGGGGGGGGGGGGTGAATAGACTTTTAAAT